CCTCCCCGTCACCCCCAGCCCCTCCACCCCTACCCCCCAATTACCTCCCCCCGCCCCGTGGTACGCCGGGTGCCCGTTCTCACGGGGAGGGGCCGCGCCGCCCCCGGGGGGCTCTGCCCAGGCCCCGCCCGGCTCGGGGGGATGCTCGGGGGGCCACTCGTGGGCAGGGGGGCGGCGCGGGGAGGGGGCGGCGCCGGGGGCCAGGCGCTCCTCCAGGTGTCCGAGCCACAGGGCCAGCGCGCTGCGGTCATCGGCCGTGGTGGCGGGGTGGATGAGCGCGTAGGACAGCAGCTGCCGGCTCTCCTCCACGCAGCGGTTGCTCTCGATGGCCTCCGCCAGCACCTTCTGCAGCCGCTTCATGTACTCGGCCTTGGCCGCCGCATTGCCGGGCTGCAGCAGCGGCAGGTGGGACAGCAGCAGGGACACGGCGGCCTCAGCCGGCTCCTGCGGCCACTGCGAGATGGCAGCTGGGGACACACGGGGGGACAGAGTCACCACGGGCTCCTGGGGCCACCACGGGCTCCTGGGGCCACTGCGAGGTGGCAGCTGGGGACACACGGGGGGACAGGGTCACCACGGGCTCCTGGGGCCACCTCAGGCTCCTGGGGCCACTGCGAGGTGGCAGCTGGGGACACACGGGGGGAGAGGGTCGCCACAGGCTCCTGGGGCCACTTTGAGATGGCAGCTGGGGACAGGGACAGGGTCACCACAGGCTCCTGGGGCCACTGCGAGGTGACAGCTGGGCCCAGGGGGACAGGTCCATGGGCACAGGGTCAGGGGGCTCCTCAGAGAACTCCAGGGACAGAAGACAGGGACACGCAGGCTCCGCCTGTGCCTCTCCAGCCCCATAACCCCCTCAGTAACCCCATAACCCCTCTGTAAACATCTCGGCGACTCCCCCAGTGACCCCCCCAGCCCCTCACCGGCACTGTTGGCCTCGGCCTCGCGCCGGTGGATGTCGGGGCAGTCCTGCAGGGAGTGCTCGAGGCAGAGCTGCAGGAACCGGGCCTGCGTCCTCGTGACCCGTTTGAGCAGCGCCAGCAGAGCCACCGTCTGCTCGCACTCACTCCAGCC